ATTGCATCCTTCTTAGTGTTCCTCTCTACCCGTCCCCCCAAAACTTATTTTTTTTTTTTTTAAACAGCCACTCGATTCAGAAACCCCTCCATTTACTTTGTGGGCCTTCACAAATAACTTGTCCGGGTTATCCCACAAATAAGATGTCTGTCAGTCTGCCAGTGAAAGCCCCAGAGGCAGAGAGTCATCCTGCTGAGAAGTGAATATATTTTACTGCTGTGTCATTAACGTGACATCAAACATGCACTAATTTATGGATGCACATCTATAACCCTCCTCCCTTTTCCTCCTTTCCTGCCTGCTTTTTGTTTTTTAAACTTAAGGTAAACTGAGAAGCAGGCACCTTTGCTTCTCACAAGGGACGGCCATATTTCATGCTGTAGTTGACCTCTGAACTCTGGGAGCGGGTCTGACCCTGTAGATCAAGCTGAATATTTGAGGCGGGTGCCACATGGACTGTGAGAAGGGACTGTTGAAGACTTGTCCATTAATCACAGCCTCAGTTTTGACATAGTCGACCTCTGGAGTCAGATTTCCAACCCAGTGCATCAAAGTCGCTAATCGTCACCTAAGGACAAAGGCCTCAGATGACAATGGCAACTACATTTGAACATCACGTTATTTCAGTCAAAATAAAAAAATGCTTCTATAAAATAATTAAGTTACAAGTAAAATATACAAAAAATAAGAAAATGATCCCCATATAAAACTCAAAGTAGCTGAAAAAAAAGAAACATTTTTTTATATAACTACTATTCTATACACAATGTATGAAGTTGCTAAAGAAAATAACCAAGTCATTTGTGGTGACTTGTGAATGCAGTAACATGAATACCATTATTTAAAAAAATAAAAAAAAGATTTAAGAAAAAAAAAAACTCTGCACGTCTTTTTGGCAAAGGATCTGTGTTTTCTCAGGCAAGGGTGTGCTGCTTCTTCAAAATAAAACACAAAAGACCTCAAGTGTATTATCTGAGTGAAATCAAAGTCACCACACCGCTTTTTCATGAAGAAGCAACCTTTTAATCCTTTCACAGCACCTCTAAAGCCAGCAGGGGGGGGGGAGGGGGGAGGAGATTTAGAATCAAAGAGCAGATTTGTGTTGTTTAGTCTATTTAGCACAGTTTCTCATTATAGTTGCCTGTTGTTGTTTGCCCAGAACAATAAAAAACACATAATTTGTGAGCGGAGGTAGCGTACATTTCAAAATAACCTGGTATAAAAAGACACAGCTCAGTCTGTTGGGTGTTAAGATGCAGAGCCGCCTTCACTGCAGAGGAATTATCTTGGATCTGTGATCGCTGACGTCAGATTTGACAGGTGTCAAATTTACATGGCAGAGGATAAGAATTCTGTCAAGTGTTGACTTTGAAAAGCTGACCCTGGCGCCTAACCCCGTCCACACTGCATTATTCACTTGATATCCACGCAACGTTTGGTGCATAAGTGAGCCCCGAAGCCCACGTTGAAAGTCTGGGCAGCTGCACAGCTGGAAGTGGTGTGAGAATAGCGATGGCCGGACAGGTGTTTGTGGGCGTAACATCTAAGGAGACGCGTGTTGGTGTGCATATGGTACAGAGTGTGTTTTACACATGTCTGCAGTGAACATTAACACCTGAAACCTACAGCTTTCATGTAAAGCCCAGTAATTGATATGGAGTGGCTGCAGCAGGTGCTGCCTCGCCACTGCACAGCGTTTAGACGCATTTAGGTGACCTGACTGATTACTTTATGGCCACGCTTCAATTGCTCACAGACGGTACGGTTGGATGTGGTGCCTCACAGCAAGAAGGATTATGGTTTTGCAATTTCAATTATTTTTGCAGCTCCAGCAAAAGCCTGTATATTGGTCCAAGAAAAGGAAACTAGGCAGTGGTTTTGTATTAAAGAGTAAAATTTAGTGGAAAAAGAAACACAGAACCAAGGAATAATGATATTGTAAAAGAAGTACTGACAACAGATGTGATGTGTACTATCAGGAGTTTGTCAACTAGAAACTAAGGCTAGCTAACAATTAAACATTGAAGCACCTTTTTTAACCAAAGAATAATAGAAGTTTCACCTTAAAGTGATTTTAGGAAAGTAATTTTGTAAGGATAGATTCAGGAGAGTCCCTGAAGTAAACTTCAAATACTGCACTGTACATGATCCCTTACTAAAGGAGACATCCTCTTTGGTGAAGAACACTGAAAACCAACAATGGTATTATGTCACGGAGAAGATCCAAATATGAAGACTTCCTTTGTCCTTGAGCAAATAAGGGTCCAACCATTTGATCTATGTCCAGGCCTGGGCCTAACTATCCAAGGGTTCTCTGTTTAACAGAGATGTATGATTTGAAAGAACACAGCTCAGGACAAAAATGAGACGATGTCCAAAGAATACATCAGGCTTGATCTTCATTAAACACAAAAAACAGACATGAATTGAAGTTTCTATTACCACATCTTTTCCATGTCTTTGATGGTCAACAATCGAGTTCTGACCTTAATGTTTTCCCCCCAGGATGATGACTCAGCATTTAGACAAAGGTCAGGCTTTTGCATGTTAAATCACATTGTTAACAGTTGGAGGAGATCTTTTAAAATCCTGCAGATGATCAGCTGGGACGTATTTCTGTTTGTCTTCCAAGGTAATTGAAGTTCTATCAGAAATTGCAAAAGCAGACGAAGTTTCGTCGATGATTAAAGTATCATTAGGGACCCGTTGCCGTTTCAGAGAATCTCTTTCACTTGATTTGTTGGCTCCCTCGCTGGAGCGCCGAGAATTAATTTATTCCTCTAATCTTTGTGTATGCCAAGAGTTGGGCAGCCCAAGCTTTGTAGGCCTAAATTTATGTTTTCTGGAAGTAAAGAGATGATCCATCAAGAGAGCTTTATCTAAAGCACGAAGAAGAGTCAAAGGTAGAACTGTCTTTAGAGAGAGAGAGAGAGTCTTACCTCCTGTGTTGGCTCTGACTATGAGGCCTAAGTGGGCCCAGAGTAGACTCAGCCATGATAATGTGGTTTGGATGTAATGACACCGGCTGTGTGTGCAAACAATCAAGAGCCATTAGTGGGAGAAAGTCACAGCTATCCAGCAGCCCGTCTCTTTGAAGACATAAAATAAATAAATAATAAATAAAGCACATATGCTCAGATCCTCTTGTCTTCGGGGACCAGACTCTTTGGCACATCCACAGGCTGCGAGGAAGTGTTTGTTCATTTGAAACGCTTGCTCTAATGTTAATCAGATGTTACTCAAGTCATATTAGCATAAAAATTCCAGAGTGTTCTGTTTAGCCAGACTCAAAGCAATGTGGGCTTAGGTTTTCGACATACAGGGCAGCAGAGAAGTAAAGAGACAGAAGAGCAACAATCACAGGACGTTGTTCCAGGGTCAGTTAAGTTTATATTTTAAAATTTAAAACTACAGTGCCCTATCCTTACTAGTCCTACTTGACTAGTTTTGGACTATTCCTAGGCCAAAACAACAGCAGATCAGTGGCTTAGATACTACTATTAGTAGCAACAATGGCTACAAACTGGTGCTACATACTGGTGCTAATAAGAATTAATATCTGATCTTGCCTCTATCACGCTTTGCTTCTCTATCTTTCTATAACCATACTTCATGGTCCAAGCCGCTGGTTTGTTTAATGTCTGCTACAGTTTTGTGGTGTTCTAGTATTGTGTTGTACAAGGTTTTTCCCCATTTCCCAGTATTGTCCATATTTCTTCTTTGTTTCTATGAACACTTTAAGTCTTTCCAGTTGAATAAACAAGTCTCTCCTCACTGTAGCAAACAATCGACAATGAAAGTGCGTTTTCCTGTCAAGTATGCCTCTTTACAGTCACCAGTCCAACCTGAGAGACCCAAGCAACTGTTCTAGACCTTGACACAGTTTCATTCACTGCAGGTAGCAAATTAATACAAACAACGATGCATGACCCTCAATTTCAGTGTACCCCTGTGGTACAATGACAATAAAGAATATTCTATTCTATTCTAATACCAATGATTGATCGTGTGAGTCCTGTCAGGGAAAAGAACTAATAACTTTTCCACTGCATGACCTTTTGACATCATTTGAGAGAAAGACGAGGAGATTCCCAATTACTGGTTCAACTGAAACCCTCTTAAGGAGGGAAGGAAATACATCAGCTTAGTTTATCTTCAGTTGGAAGAAAATGATACAACACTGAGAACTTAGTCGCTAACAGGAAGCAGACTTACACTTTAAATGGAAAAAGAACGACATCCAAACAGTTGAGAAATTATCACCGACAGTAACATACTAAAATAAGTGAAGTTAGGAACAAGAAAGTGACATCAAACTAATAAATGACCAGACCAAAAATAGTTGTGTTGATGTCTGTTCTTTACGCAACTATTCCACAGCGCATTAACCTCATTATGTCCAGTCTGGTTATCAACCAAAAACAACAGACTTTTCGATCAGTGAACCAAATGTTCAACCTGTGTGGCAGACGCACATCAAATCTGGAGCCAATAGCTGTGTCCTGCCACATTAGCTAATGTTTGATTTGACATGCACTATTTACCTGCAACAAATGCTCCCATTAAAGCAATTTTCCGCAGGAGCAACAGGAGTTGGAGATCATTCTCAAGACGTAGACAGACAGTGACAGTTGTAGGAAAAGCTTGTCTTTAATCTGAGAATAAGTAGACAATGTATTTACGCAAACCCAATTGATTACATAAACATGTATGTTTATATGTGTAATGCATAGAAAACTCGGGAGCTTAAAATATCAAAATTAATGACAGCATGAACCGAGGGACCAGATGTGAATATTATGAAAATAATCTAATGAGCATCCCCTAAGGGTTAACTGATCTCATTCTGTATTAACTGTTTATTATATCATCAAAAAGCAGCTGCGAGGCAAACACAAGTCCTTTAATAACTATTTCATTCCTGCGTTACTGTTTCTTCTCCCCTCAC